CTGAACACTGTTTCTTCTGACTGGGCTTCTCTACTGCAAATCTAAAACGCTTAATGGTACTTCGGAGATTTGTGTTAACCATGTCAGATATTTGGAGCAGGCAGTGGCACAGCCGTCGGGTTTCTCTGCTCAGCAGGAGCTCCTGATTGGCATTCTCCCTGCATCTGCTGTGGTCGTGTCTCCTATAAGAGGCTTACAGAGCTGAGCGCCATCTGAAGCTGCAGAGCTCTCCAAGTGAAATCAGCTAAGCTTACTGGAAACGTTTATCCCGCAGAGGAAAATACGGATTTGATTTCATTCCTATATACAAAAAATTAAAAAAAAGAAATCATCCTCGCAGATGGAGCACCGTGAAACTCCTCTGCTGAATAAATGTGAATGTTGACGAAATAGCCGACATAATAACATACATAGCAACAAAAGATAAGTACAAACGCTGACTCACTGTTACTGTGACATCAGTTCATTTCTGCCAACCTGCTGCTTAGTGAAAATGAGAAAGAAGCGTTGCTGTGCCCTCTGGTGGTTAAATCATTTCAGCTGTGGAGACTGAAGGAGCAGCAAATCATTACTCATACAAGCTGTAGACTGCAGGTCTAATGCTTCAGCAGAGAAAGAGAGGGAAGGCTGAAAACATCAGAAGTGGAGAGAGGAGGCTGCATATCGTGGCGGGGGGAAGCTGTTATAACAGCCTCAGTAAAAATCACAGTGACCATAAATATCATAAATATTCATAGTTATCTAATTCAGCATTTATTTAAAAAGGGAAATTATCTCTGATGTGTGAGATCAAAGTAACATGAAAGTTTTGTGTTTAAACCCTTGAGATTAGTTTCCAAATTAATTTTGGATAAAAGTATGAAGCACTGGACCAGTAATAATAGTCTAAAAACAAATACGTTTTTCTCCTTTATGAAGTCAAACAGGGAACTTTAATTCTTGCAGATTATGATTGATTTTAAATATTATACTAGGATTACAGTCGCCCAATGAAATAAACTAACCTTGATTTATTCTGTCATCACAGACGAGGTGAGAAACTGCTTCACTAAGCCCAGCCGGCACCTTTGTGTGAAGTGTGTGATTTCTGCACAGCAGTCTCCTGGAGAAATGTGTGGGAGGCAGAATGTGGGAGGCAGAATGTGTTGCCATGCATTTAACAGCAACAGCACCCCACAGAGTGAGAACAAGAATATATTTCTTAGGGACACATTGCATGAAGTGTTCCTGTTTCTTTAATGGCAATCGGCATTGTTGAATTATTTGTCCAGAAGACGTCCTTTTACAATCTCTCTCCCAGCACAGAAATATCGGGTGTTTCTGTCTTTCTCTATATGCTAAGAAAACACTTTGTTTCCTATTTTTTTTCTCAAAGAAGCTGTGTTTTTATCTACAAATACAAAAAGAAGAACAAACTCCAAGAACTTAATACCTCAGGATAAGAAGAGATTTCCAACCACTCCATGCATGAGCTGAAGGATGGTATTTATTAGAGACTATCAAGATGACGTCCTCCAGTTGTTCTTATTTCTGTTTGATATAAAGTTGTGAAGAAGTGACACAAAATGTAAAATGCTTCAGAGCCATATTGACAGGCGGACTCCAAAAGGTCAACACTTATAAAAACAATCAAGCCACATGTTTATTTACAATTCAATCCAAAAAGGCCTATTTTCATCAACTTACTTTTATTTAATCAATTTTTTGTACTTATTTTAATTTGTGTGTGTGTTTGATAATCTGCATAAAAATATGAATAATTGTCGGCAACAAAAGTGTGGAAGCAAAAGTTCTCATTTTCTACCCTTACAGAGGATTTCTGAACATAATGCAGTCTATAAACTGGGATCAAGTCATTACACCAAACCAGTTTTTTTTAAAAAAAAAAGTCATCTGCAAAAGATATTAATGCTTTTAAAAAAGTTTGTCTTCAAAGTCAGACAATTCGTCGTCCTGAAGGCAGACGAAACATTGCTAAGAAATCATCTTAAACCAGCGAAGGACACTGTCGCCTAAAAGGATGAACAAAGAGGAACGCACCAGAGATCTACCAGCTCGGTGAATGAGACATGGGGCAGCGTCTGAAGCTGGCAGCGCACACACAAACACATAAATCTCATCAACACAGAGACACAATCGCACACACACACCTAACATACAAAGCTGCTATTCTACTCATGTACAAACAGTCTCCCCTACACCCTCCCCACCCTCCAACATCTGATAAACTAGACACCTAATCAGAATCTTTGGGGACCCCAGGCCTCCTTTTGGAGCATGCAGACCAAGCAAATACATTAACTCAATTTAGAGTTTGGGATTAAGGGCCCACCGCTCCCCCTTTATGAACACACACACACACACGCAACATCCCTCCTCTTTCCCCTTACTCTGCCTTTCCCCTCATCTCTCTTTTTGATGGGATCAGCTGAGCGCTACATTCTCTTCTTCTTCTTCTTCTCTAGCAACCTCTCTCTCTCTCGCTCTCTCTTTCTATCTCTATCTGTCACACTCTCTCGCTCTCTCCCTCAGGGGACCGGGGTGCATGGACTCTATAGTTATGGGCCGGGGCCATCTGTCAGCGTGCACATTCACGCAGCCACCAGAAGGCCGCAACATGTGCAGATTTAAATGGAGAACCCAACTTTCCCAGGACACACAGTCCTGACCCCGGCAGCCGCTGCAGCTCCCCCTCCTCTTCATCCTCCCTCCCATCACCCCGTGCCTCCCTCCTCCTCCTGTTCTTTCCTCCATCCCACGTCCGGGACCACTATCCAGCATCCCTAAAATACAGACCCCACCCACCTGCCACACCCTCCTCCACCAACACCACCAAGAAATACTGTCTGCATTTGAATCAGTGAATTAAAGTCCCCCACCCAAAACCTCCTGGACCAATCAGGCCCCAACCCAACACACCCCAAATAAGTGTTTTGCATGCGTGTGTGTTTGTGTGTGTGCATTGTAATGGCTGAGCAGCATGCACAAGCACCTTCTTTACACATAATGATGGATTTCCACCTTACATAGCAGCTGATGGAGAAAGAGGGGAGGTTAAGGAGGAGGTGGGCGGAGGGTGGGGAGGGAAGGAAGGCAACACTGGTGGGTGTGTGAGAAAGGGAGCGATCAGCTGATTGGTAAAACTGATCATGGAGGAGAGGGAGAAAGGATGGAGGGGAGTGTTAGGCAGCAGTGTGTGTTGTTGGATGTGGGCGTGGGGGGCATGGGGTGGGAGGGTAACAGGATTGGTCTTGTCTGTGGGACCCATGGGGAGGACAATGGGAGCGGCGGGGGTAGGGCGAGTGTCACACGCTTTTGCTTTGTGGCACGGTCAACAGGCGTGTGCCACGGGTGTCGTCTCGCCTCCCCTTCGCCTGCTGTCCAACTCCTGGGGAAGCACCGGCAGCCATGAGAACCAGGGCCCCAGGGCCTTTAATGAGGGGCGTGCT